AATAATTATTTTCAGAAAATTAATAATAATCGTCAATTTTGATGTAAATAAAAAAAGTTTCTGAAAATGGTAAGCACATTTTGATTATTACAAATGTATAAAACGATTGCATCATCAATATCTTGATATTAAATGAGAACATTATAAAATGATTTGTAAAGTGTAAATATTTTTTGTAAATTTGTAAAGTAAATTTTTTTAACGTAAATATGAAAAAATTTACCACATAGATGACAAGCAATTATTGACCAATACTTTACACGCGTCTATATTCATAATGAATCCGGAAAAATATGAACTGCGTAATTCCATTAATGCAAAGTACTTCTGCGAAACGCATACTTTCCGATATGTGTACATATGAATGAATTAACAGGAACTAATCTCTGCTAATCTACGGATATTTCCATTTCGCAAGTCACTTTCAAGGACTGCAGCTAATTGGTCACCGAGATAACATAACATTGATGATCACACTCTAATCAGAACACTATGAGTATTCGCTGAAACACAATTTATCCTTTAATTTACTTAGCTTTAATTAGAGAGTAGTAGCCATATAATCAGGAAAAATACGCTCTCATTCTAATTAGAGAGCAAAAATAAATAAATAGTAAAGAATAATTAACTCTAATTGACTCTATTACGAGATATAAATATTATATAACAAAACATGACTTTAATTATTTCAGAATAATTATTTATTATTATTTATTATTTATTCAGAGATCAAAATGATTTGAAAAGGAATTCAATATATGCGAATATTTTAATGCTTTTATCAAAATCGTCTAATCATTCTTCATTGGATTTCCGCCTTTTATTTTATATAACAATTCTCTTAAAGGCGAGCAGACAGCCGCGTTCTCTTTCGCGAACAATTAAATCCTAAGATTAGCCCTCGAGAAACGAGCACCGGTTTACGAAACCAGTCCGCGAACCGTTGGCAACCGAGTCGAGAAATGGTTAGCCGGTACCACACGAGCGTATTTTTGTTCCGTTTAAACCTGACAAGAATAGAAGAGGGCGTGAAGGCAATGCAAATAGCACGTATGAATTCGTAGGTCTTCAAGAAGTTCGTCCAACTTGGTACCAGCGAGGAAAGAAAGTAAACGCTTCTTTTATTTATTTTGTTGTTTTAATTTTCGTCTCTTAGAAATTTCGTTTACGCTTCTGTTATTTTCCCACTACATTCGATTTATGCTCCGATTTTTATTTTCATCAGGCACCACCAGCCGCTTCCAGAAGGAGTTAAAAAAGACGCAAAAGTCATGTTTTCTCGTTCGATTCCTTCCGGATATTTACAAATTAATAGTCGTCGACGTTCTGCGATTTCCATCGTAAGAGAGCAGCCGTCCATTGCTGCTTCAGTCACTCTCTCGTAAGGTGAAAATCAGGACAACAACCCACGAGGAGCATGTAGGAGCTGCACGGGATATCGATCGACCCCCGGGCTATTCTGGATAACACCCACGCACACACAGATGCGCGTAGGTCGGACTGGGATGGAATCAGGTCGACTGGAAGGAGACCTCTGTGCGAAAGTGGCTTGCGGTTTCGCTTGCGACTGTCCAGCAAAGAACAGCTTCTCAAGGATGGCTCTCACCAAGTCGATTGTCGAATGAAAAGAATGAGCAGCGAGATTAATAACAAAAATAGTAAAATTGACTGACCATGAAATTGAGAAAAGCAGACTTTGTGTGGTCCACTGAGTGTACACGCGATGGATTATTAAAAAAATATTCATTTTAATCATTTCAATCTACCCTCGAGACTGATTCTACCGGACGACAAGACAATTAGTGTTTTTTTTTCTTTTACGTAATACTGCACGAAGAATCACACAGCATCAAGCTTCTTTCATGCTGCATTCCAACAGGAAGCAACCGTGCAGTTGCAGTTGTAGCAACGAGGGCGAGTCACTCGGGCGTTGGAATGTCGTGAAGCGTTAACAGGATTGCGAAATTAAAATTCCGGCCTTAGGAATTCGCGGCCATGCCGGCGGCATAACGGGTTCCCCGACGTCGTTTCTTTACAACGCACGCGACGAGAGAAGTGACGAGCAGAAGGACTGACCTCGTTGCGGCCAATAACTACGCTGTTTGTTTTGAAAGTGGTATACCTACTTAAAGTTAAGTTTAATGATTTCGTGAAAGTGCAGTGAGATATCTGTTTTTGATTAATTCTTCAATGAAACAAGGTACGAGTCCGTTGCTTCATCGAATACAATTTTCCCTATAATGCTGTAATTTTATTCGAATTTTTATACACGTAAAGAAATAAAAATTGCCTTTCTCGAGTCCTATGTGGTCACGCAAGATGCCGCATATTTTCTTTCAATTAATTTCAACTTTAAACAGAAGTTAATAATTAGAACTCAGTCAAAAAATCGATAACTTTTTACAATTTCTCGATATTAAAGTAAGATTCTTTATAAAAATGCACGGTGCTAGTCAGCATGCTAGTTTTCTAACGAACCAGAAAACTAGCAACTCTAAAAATATATAATAATTTATAAAATTACATTTTTTAATTGCTAGTTTTTTAATTTCTCTCGCTCCAAGACTGACACTGGTTATTAATAAAAAAAGCATCGTGTTAACCTTGCTTAACTCTTGAAATACACAATCGAATCATTTATGTTCTGTACATTTCTTTTTTTCGACAAACTGGGCGCATCATAATTAATCATAATATACAATTTTTTTAAATACACAACCTTGTAAAAACTTTCTAAAGATGCCAAGGTACATAAGAATCGCTCAATAATTTTTGTACATTTGTTAAAGTGAGAAAAATTAATCCGGGACACAAATGTCTTTTATCACGTATAGAAAAGGACCAGAAAACTATTGTATATACTAAGGTATCCGGTCGATTACTCGAGAGATTGATACTTTTACCATTGTGTTCCGCAATTCGGGACTTTCTCTTAATTGTGAAATACTTAATTATCTAGAAGCGATCGGATGTTTTCGAGCGTGGAGTTTCCATGATGCCGGCAAAACGCGGAATGCAACACATGCGCTTCCGCAGTGCAATCTTCCGGTCGATGGCCGACAGTTGGACGCCGAACGAAGAACCCGCTCGTCTCGCACGCGAGAGTATTGATTCTCTTCGCGGCTTCGCGTTCGTTCGGCTCGCAAGCGACGAAGCAACGATGAAGCGCAAGCGAAAAAACTGCGCGCCACGCCACGCCACGCCGCGCCGAGCCATTGCGATTATCGCAACGACGCAAAATAACGCCACCTTCAGATCACTGTCCTTCGGCCATTGATTATTTAACTGTGCTTTGGCAAGCTGTCAATGTTAGATGGTAATTTCGTGCGACAATCCCGCAAGCGAGATATATATATATATATATAT